GGAGCTGTTGCGCCGGAGTGGGCCTCGGACCAAGCAGGATTGAGCCAGACTAAGCGGGATTGCGCGGGATGAAGCCGGCTCAAACGGGATTATTAAGCTGGATGAAGCCGGATTTCGGACCAGGGCAAGATAAGGCATTTACCTCCCAGGAGTTGCATCCGAAATCTTGTGTGTATATGCGTAGCATTAGGTCGGGCATGTCCCCTTCAGGCGGATTTTGGACGGAATATGAATAATGGTGAAAATGCACCCAACTTGTGAAACTTTGTGGACAAATCGTCCCAGGACTATATTTCAAATTGTAAATAAGTTCGATGATTCCTCCTGTAGAGGCTCATGTTCGACTTAAACATAGCACCCCGCAGTCGCGAATCAGAGGGATGGGGCGGGGGGGGGGCGTCTGCAGTCTGCGAGGCTCTGAAGAAGCCCGCCGCAGGCGCCCAATTTGTACAACTTCTGCAACGAGCCCGCCGCAGGCGCCGACTTTGGTTAAAGCAACAAGGGTGGGTCGCGGGGTAGGTCGCGGTGTGGGTCGCGGGTGGGACACATGTGTATACAGATTCCCTTCGTTTTGTGTTCTGGGGGGGTGCGGACCCCCCCCTCCCCAAAACGGGACCCCCAGGATCAGTGGCCCCAGGGGCCCTCTGAGCGCCCCAGCGAGAGGTCCCCCAGGGGCTCCAGGCTCCTGGAAGCCCCTGCTGGGCCTAGGCAACGTGCCCAAATAGGTCAGGAGGGCGGCCGAACAGCCCCGCGAGGGCCCCAAGAGACCCCAGACACCCACCAGACGCCCGAAGACGACCCAAAGAAGACCGCGGTTGGAGGCCGCGATTGGAAGCTGGGTGGCCCGAGGAAGCCCCCACCAGAAGACGACCAGGAGGCCTGCAGAAAGCCCCAAGAAGCCCTTCACAACTTTCGTGAGGCCCCCGAGAGGCTCTCCAAGGAGGAGCCTCCGTAGAAAGAGCTGGGGATTGGCGAATTCCATGGTAGGGCGAGAAGGAGGAAGAGGAACAGTAACCACTAGCGACATATATGGAATCACGCAAGTATAACGACGATGTCGGAAAAGGCAACAAGGAGTCATCGCTACATGGTATGTTTTACCTTCTTGCCCGTCTGCGCGCATCTCAAACTTCAAGGACCAAGGTGCATGGCGAGAAGCGCCAATGCAGTCTTGTATGTGTGTGTAAATACATATCGTGTTGTGTGTCACCTTCCCTCGTCTCCCTGCCCGCCCCCCCGACCACGCTTGGTGGCTCTCCTACCCCCCCGACGCCCGCGTCCGCACCCCCGCACGGGATCAAGACGTGCGAGCCCTGGAGGGGGACTCGAACGCTGCGTCTTCAGCTGTCATTCAGGAACCCTCCATGAGGAAGGACAGTGAGATCCAAGGGCGCTGTGGAGGAGGAGGAAGAGGAGGAGGAGGAGGAGGAGGAGGTGGAGGAAGAGGATGAAGAGGAGGAGGGGGAGGGGAAGAGGAGGAGGAGGAGGACGACGACGACGAGGAGGAGGAGGACGAGTGATGAGGGATGAGGGAGGAGGGAGGAGGATGAGGGGGAGGAGGAGGAGGAAGGAGGGAGAGGGAGGAGGGGGAGGGAGGAGAAGGGAGGGAGGAGGAAGGACGGAGGAGGGAAGAGGGGGGAGCGGCTCGTGGACTGTCCTGGACCCTCTGAGCTGGGTCCGCCCCCTCCTCTCTTCAGGCCGCCTCTGTGCTGTGCCTCCTCTCCTCGCCTCCCTCGGCTCCCTCCTCGGCTGGCTCCTTCCCCTCTTCGTGCCTATCCTTGCCGCTGTGGTGTCGGGGAACAAACAACGACATGAACACAACACTCGGAGGTCCGCGCGGACTCTCCTCGGAGAGGCGCTGGGCCCCCCGGGCGGCGCCTCCGGCGCCGCCCTTGGCGCGCTCCGCGCGCCACGGAGGGGGGGGTCCAGCGCCGAGCCGAGAAATCCGCGCGGACCTCCGAGTTTTCATGCCCACGTCTCTGTCGTTGCTCGCTCCCCTACACGGGTGCCTCCTCTCCTCCCCTCGACTGCCCCTCCTCCGCCGGTCGGCCCGCGGTCCCTCGCGTCCGTCGGTCCATCTCCCTCGGCCGCTTGCTGTCGCTCCTCGCTCCCCGCTTCTCGCTCCGCTGCGCTTTGGCCCCCCCCTGCCCTGGTCCTGCGGGCCCCCTGCCGTCCAGTCTGGGCGGCTTTGGCCGCTGCAGCATCGTGCGAGTCCCGCGTGCTGCTTCTTACGTTCTGGACGGCTTGCGGCCAGGCCCAACCTGCGACGCTCAAAAAGTGTACGGCAGGTTCGTGACGTGCCGACCCCAGCGTTGGTTTTTGACACCGCAGGGATCGTTCAACCTTGAACGATCGGCCGCTGCCGCAACGTCCGATCGTTCAACATCGATCGATTCTGGGTCGCCGGCGGCGTTCAACCTTGAACGTCGGCGGCGGGGTCGCCGCCGGTCGACACGACGCGAACCTACCGTAAGTGTGTGTGTGATTTCAGGACACTCGCCTTTTCGGTCTTCGGAACGCCCAGAAAAAAAAAACCCAACATGCCTCCGTGATTGCTGCAAGGCGGCCCAAAAGGGGCCCAGAAGAACCCACGACGGCCCCAGGAGGTCCCAACAGACAGCCCAAGAAGGCTCCCGACAGCCCCCAGAGAGACCCACAAGTCGGTCCAGAGTAGCCCAAGGGGGGGGGGTCTGCAGGACGGCCCAGGAAGGCCCCCAAGACAGCCTCAATGAGAGACCTCATCCTCCTCCTCCTCCTCCTCCTCCTCCTCCTCCTGGTTCTTGTCCTCATGCTCCTCATTCTCTTTCTCCTCCTCCTCCTCCTCCTCCTCGTTCTGGCATCGGTCTCCCGCGAAGCGGTGTGTATCTGCTGACGCTTTGCACATGGAGTGGCCGTGTATTTGTGCTGGTGGCTTTGCCGTCGGTCGCTCCTGGCACTGCGGCACGAAGGCTCCGATGAGGTGGCCCTCCCGAGCTTTCTGAGCCAGCTGCGAGCAAGACAAAGGCGGCTCTGTCAACAGCGACGACGCCACCGACTCCGCTGCCTCCTTCTTCTCCTCCTCCTGCTTTCTCGTGGCCGCGCAGACCTCTTCCGAGAAACTGCCGCCTTCGGACGGTCCCCGAAGGGTCCCTGCCAATTGACGCCCCGAAGCGCTGCTGCACCAGCAGTAGCCGGTCGAGCTGTGGCACTGCCGCGCGGCGAACGCCCCGTCTTCCTTGGCCAGCAACAAAGCCACCCAGCGTATACCTCACCTAGTGTGTACCTCACCTCGAGGCAGGCAAGTGAATGTACCACGGGTGACCTAACTTGCAAGGTCTCGTTCGCCTCGAGCATAGGACTCGACAGCGAACGACTCTGTCTAACCACCTAAGGCGAACCCCCAGTGAGGGTGCTGGTGGCTTTGCCGTCGGCCACTCCTGGCACTGCGGCACGAAGGCTCCGATGAGGTGGCTGGCCTGGGCTTTCTGGGCCAGCTGCGAGCAAGACGAAGGCGGCTCCGCCAACAGTGACGACGCCACCGACTCCGCTGCCTCCTTCTTCTCCTCCTCCTTCAGTCTGACAGCGACGCAATCCTCCTTCGAGAAGCTGCCGCCTTCGGACGGCCCCCGAAGGGTCCCCGGCACCTGGCGCCCCGAAGCGCTGCTGCACCAGCAGTAGCCGGTCGAGCCGTGGCACTGCCACGCAGCGTACGCCCCGTCCTCCTCGGCCGACAGCAGAACCACCCTAATCTTCAAACGACGACTTTACCGAGCGCAGCTGCATTGGTAGTCAAGCTCACGAGTTATCGGACACATCGAGGACGGTTGCACATCGCGCGAGCTTGCCAGACCATCGGCAAGCCGTGGCTGGTAAGTAATTTGCGACGGTGGCTTTGCTGTCGGTCAATCTTCTGTGGTTACTCATGGGGGCCTCCCATACCATCTTGTCGGCTCTTGCGAATCGACGCTAATCGACGCTCAATCGACGCAACATCGACGGTCTATCGACGCTAATCGACGCTAAGTCGGCGCTATCTAGTCGACTCCAGACGCTAATCGACGCGAGTCGATGCTAAAGACGGTTTTAAAAGGGCATACCAGGGTCCCCTGATTTGCCACCGAATCAGTCCTGGCACTGCGGCTCGAATGCTCCAATGAGGGTGCCCTTCTGGGCCTTCTCCAGGCAAGACGAGGGCGGCTCCGTGAGCAAGGAGCGCGCCACCATCTCCGCCTCTTCCTTCTTGGAGTGCGTAAGTGAGGGGGCTCAGGGCCACACAAATAAGTACACACAAATCCAATATTCCCCCATACTTTCAAATATTTGTTCTGGATTCTCGTCTTCCCCCCACTTCCCATATTTTCCCATATCTTCCGGCGGGTCGTCGATTCATTGAGTCTGTGTTTTTGTTCCCCTCTTAGGTAAGAAGTGCCGGTGTTCGGCGGCGGCCCTCTTGGAAAAGAAATGGGCTTGTCGGCAAGGGCTGGCCCCCGTGGAGCTCATGCCACCCGTACATGCTGAAGGTGCAGGGGGCCTTCCTAATGGCCGCCACCCTGTAGTCGGCCCGCATCAAAAGGATGCGCGAAAAGGAGGCAAGGGCCTTGGACGCCCATTCCGAAGCTTTTCGAGCGGGGCGCGGCCAACGAGAGTGGCCGAGGATGGATCGAGGAGGCAAGGATAAGCAAAGGTACCCTTGGGAAGGTTGCCCATCCATACTCTGCGGGTTGACTGTGCCCGCCTTGCTCGACACATGGTGGCCCGCCCCTGTGCAGGGCAGGGAAGGGAAGGGGGCTGGGAGGGGAACCTGGCCATCAAACATATGGCGAGCACGGCCGCTTAGCAGTTCGCTGACACCGAGCCGGTGTCTTCTTGACCGTTTTCTTGGCCACCTGCCTCTCGGGTGGACGAACAAAAATGTGGGGCAAGGAGGGGGAGCATCATGAGTGCCGAAACCGTGTGTTTTGAAGTGCTGTTTTGTTGTTTGATGCCTGACGTGAGATTTCCAGAAACATTGTGATTTTCCTTGCGTTTGCTGGAATTTTTTGATTTTCACCCTCCGACGAGAGTTCCGGCCGCACGCATGTGCTTCCCCCGGCGCCCAGAGTGTCGGGAACGACCATGCACCGATGAGTGTGCCCAGCAGATTTCGTACAGTAGGTGCCCGTCCACAAGAAACCTTCCACAAGAAACCCAACCCTGAGACCCCAGGACGTCCATTGAGCTTTGGTGTGGGAGCGTCGCGCTCTCCATAGCAAAACCATCGAAACCCGAGAAGCCCCGGGCACCCTGGAGGCAAGCAGGGTGTTTCTTGGAATGGGTTTCCGCTGTGTCACTCCCCTCCCCCGATCCCCCCCCCTCTCCCTCCCGGCCCCCCGACGTCTTGAGGTCTCCCGTGGGTCCCCGGATGCCTCGACCCCTCCCCTCGGACCGGCTTTTCTCGCCCCGAGTAGTCTTTCACACGGCCCTGGGGCATGGCGACAGCATGGCCCCCCAGAGGACGAAGGCTATGATGGGCCTGTTTTCCACCACCACAACCATAGGCAGGAGGGGGAGGGGGGGGAGGGGGGGAGTAGCCGAGAGCGGACCACTGTCCTCGGCCCCTCATGGGGCCGAAAAACACAGGGGATCAACAGACCCCTTCCAGATCCTCAGCCTCCCCCCCTCCCTCCCGGGTGGGCCGTCCAGAACTTCGCCCGCGCGGTGGCGGGTCCCGACTGGCTTGGGCAGCGTCGCCGCCCGGGCTCTCCACGTCTGGGAGGACGGGGTGAGAGGGGAGGGGGCCTGCGGCGGGCGGGACCTGCTGCCACTCGACGAGGCGGCCTCAAACGACTCGACCACTCTCGACTGGTCCCGCTCCGCCATGGCCAGCAACATCGGTGGAGAGGGGCCCCCCTCTTCGTGGAAAGAGCCCCTCTTCTCTAAGCGACGAAGATTTTCCGTCCCCTGGGAGACTGACCGTTGCAACGTGGCTTCGAGGCCCTGGGGTCAACCGTCGCATAGCGACCACAGGCCGAACACACCGTCACGAACCACTTCGGAAAAAAAACGAGCACTTGTGGGTTGGATGAATCTCTAACGCGGGGTGACCCTGAGTGGGGGCATGAATTCGATCCGCTGTTGCAACGAACTGTCGCAAACAGATGCCCCCCCCGCATGCCCCACCGATCGGCAGCTATAGGGAGCTGCTTGCGGCTGGGGGGCATCTGTTTTGGGCGGTTCGGTGCAAACGCAGATCGAACTCACACACACACACACCGGGGCACACACACACACACACGCACACACGCACACACGCGCGCGCACGCACGCACGCACGCACGCACGAACGCACGCACGCACGTACGTACACACGCGCACACGCTGCACCACGTCTACACCACACGGACCACTCACTCACGCACGCATGCCACGTGCACACGACGCACGCACCCACACACCACACACACACACCCACACACACACGCACACATCACACCGCACGCAATGCACGCAAGCACGCACTCACGCGACGCACGACGCACGCACGCACGTACGCACTCACGCAACGCGCACACTCACACTCTCGTCGCACACACACATACACCCGCACCCACAACCACACCACACGTCCCCACACCCATACACGCCCACACACCCACACGACCCACACCCACACCCACACACACCCACACACCCCACACCACACACCACAACACCCCACAAACCACGACAGCCACACACCGACACCCCGCACTCGCACGCGCAGCGCACGAGCACGGCGCACGCGCAACGCACACTCGCACGCACACGCGCACGCAATCGCGCACGCGCACCACGCACTGCGCAACGCGCACGCGCAACCGCGCAACACACAGCCCCAACAAAACTGCACACTCACAACTCACAAACGCACACGCACAAACACGCACGCCGCACTGATAAACCTCAACACGCACACGCACACGCACACGCACCGAAACGCGCGCGCCTCACGCCCCGCTCGTACGTCACGCGACGCACGCAACGCCGCAACGCACTTATAAGCACGCTACGCCCGCGCGCGCAACAGCGCACCGACGCACAAATAGGAACGCGCACAGCGCACGCGCCCACTATGGCCCTCGGCCCGCCTTCCCTTACTCATCCTGTGCGTCACAGCGCACGCGCACGCGCACGCGCACGTGCAGGCGCACGCGCACGCTCACACACACACACACGGCACACAGCACACAGCACACAGCACACAGCACACAGCCCACAGAACACAGCACACAGCACACAGCACACAGCACACAGCACACAACACACAGCACGCCGCACACGCACACGCACACGCACACGCGCACGCGCACGCGCACCCACACGCACACGCACACGCACACGCACACGCACACGCACACACACAGAACACAGCACACAGCACACAGCACACAGCACACAGCACACAGCACACAGCACACAGCACACAGCACACAACACACAGCAGACAACACGCACACGCACGCACACGCACACGCACACGCACACAGCACACAGCACACAGCACACAGCACACGCACAGAGATACGCACACGCGCACTGCACGCGCACACTCACACGCACACGCAACACGCACACGGCACAACGCCACGCACACTCACACGCACACGCACCGCCACACTCACACCGCCACCTGACGCACACGCACACGCACACCACAACGCCACGCCACGCACACGGCACGACGCACCCAGCACACGACTCCCATCACACGCAGCACAAACACACACAAACCTACACACCCACAGCCCCACACAGCCGCACACACCCACACACCCACACAACACGTCCACCCACACTCCACACCCCAACCCCCACCTACACGGCCCCCCCCACACACCCCCCCCCCCCCGCCCCCCCCCCCGACACACCCCCCACACCCAACACACACACACACACACACACACACACACCACACACACACACACACACACCACCACACACACACCCACACAAACACACACACCACACACATCACACACACACACACACACACACACACACATAACACATAACAACACACACACCACACAACTACGATCACACACACACACCACACACACACCACGACACCAATCACAACACACACACACACACAAACACACACACACACACACACACACACACACACACACACAGAACACACACACACACACACACACTCACACACACTACCCCACACAGCACCAACACAACAACTAAAATTCACACACAGACACCAACACACACAACACACACTCACTCGCGCACACGCACGCGCGCACGCACGCACGCACGCACGCACACCCACCCACCCACCCACCCACCCGCCGACCCACCCACGTACGCACGCACGCACGCACACACAGACCTTGCGTTAGGTCGGGCATGTCCTCCTACAGGCGGATTTTGGACGAAGAGTAAAAAATAGTCAAAACTATTCGAAGATCGGAAAAAGTGCTTAGAAAAATCGTCCCCAGACTACTTTCTGGACTATTTTTGATTATTCCTCCTGTAGAGGGACATGCCCGACTTAATGCTAGGGCTGTCTCTGGAGCGCTGTCGGCGAGGCGCAGCTGCTGGAGCGCACCCCAGGGCTGAGCAAAATAGCGCCATAGAACCAGCAAGAGCGACTGGCGAAGTTGCAGGCGGCCCCGGGGGTGAGCTGGTCGGCTCCTGAGAAGATCGGTCAGGGGGGGGAACGAAGGCAAATCCGCTCAAATCGGTCCCGGACCACTGCCGGGGTCCATCTGGTATAGTGTTTCATCCTGGATCCGTTTCTGACCACTCCGAAGGCCCCAGAACGACTGAAAAGGGCAAACCAACCTTTTTCGAATCCAGCACCTCGAACCTCGCCCGACCATCCTGCTGGCGGGAACCAGTGCTGGGCCACCTCTGACCCCCAGCCGACTCCAACAATCGGGGCTCCCTGAACGGGGGCATTACTAAGGGGGCTCAGGCTTTGCCATATGCCCTTGCTTTGAAGGGGCCCAAGGACACACAACTAAATACACACAAATAACAGGATTCCCCATATGTTCCATATTTTTTGGGTTTTTGCCTTCCCCCCCTCTTTCCATATTTTGCAATATTTTCTTGGAATCGACGGTTAATTGTGTCTGTGTGTTTTTTGTCCCTCCTGATGTTTACCATGCCCCCGTCTACGGCGTCCAGAGCTCCCGAAACGGGGGCATAGCCAAGCGTGGAACTCGGTGTTCTCCCTGCTCCCGCTTGCGATGTAAAGCCGCACAGACCACCCTCAGAAGAAGCACCCCGACAAGAAAGGCGCTTCGTAAACGAGCCCACGGAAGGAACTGAACAGGGCAAGGATGTCTAGTAAACGCCCATGGTCGTGAAGCCTGATGCTACAGTGGAGGCCAGGCTTCAAGAAACCTTCCACAAGAAACCCAACCCTGAGACCCCAGGACGTCCATGGATTTTTGGTGTGGGAACGTCACGCTCTCCAGAGCAAAACCATCGAAACCCAAGACACCCAGGGCACCCTGGAAGCAAGCAGGGTGCCTCTTGGCATAGGTCTCCGCTGTATGTCCACGTCTCTTGCGCCCTGAGACCCAGATCCCCGACGCCCTGATTTTTCGTTACGTCGACCCCTGGAGGTCTCGACCTATTCCCCTGGACCGGCTTTTCATCCTGAATCGTTTCCTGACGGCCCCGAGGGCCAGTAAGGGCCCCCAGAGGCCGAACATAGCAAACAACCTCCCGTCATGCCCCAAGGGGTTTGGGGACGACGAAGGGTCCTGTCTTCCGGCCTCCGCGCCAGCCCGCGCGTGGCGGCCGTGCGCTAGCGCGGCCGTGGCCACGGCCGCGGCCGCGGCCGCGGCGCACCGCAGCCTCCTCCCGACGGAGGGCCCGCCCCGCCGCCCGCCGGCGGCGCCCCCGCGCTCCTCGTCGACTTCGAAGGAGTGCCTGGGGGAGGAGCAGCAGCAGCAGCAGCAGCAGCAGCAGCAGCAGCAGCAGCAGCAGCAGCAGCAGCAGCAGCAGCAACAGGAGCAGCAGCAGCAGCAGCAGCAGCAGCAGCAGCAGCAGGAGCAGCAGCAGCAGCAGCAGCAGCAGCAGCAGCAACAGCAGCGGAGGAGGAGGAGGAGGAGGAGGAGGAGGAGGAGGAGAGGAGAGGGGGGGGGGAAGGAGGAGGGGGAGGGGGACGAGGAGGAGGAGGAGGAGGAGGAGGAGGAGGAGGACTGACTGACTGACTATGACTTGGATCCAACGTGTCGTCAAGTGCCTCTGACACCACCTCTTGCAGTGTGGAACCAAAAATTGCAGCATCAATCTGGATCTGTCGGGGCAAGCCCCCTCGCTACGCACAAGCGCGCGGGTGCCATTCAGCACTCTGGCACTGCACGCACCCTACTCCTGCGCGGGCAGGCTAGGGGCATGCGTGCACTCGGATCTATAATTGCATGCACCTGTCTTGCCTTTGCACGTCTAGCAACGAGCACTTTAACGTGTTCCGGAACAGCGTTTCCGGAGCACGTTGGAATATCTATGCCGCTGTCTTGCCTTTGCCGCGCCTGCCTCGGACTCGACTCTTACCTTTGTCCTGCCGAACAGGCTGGGGGCGAGGAGTGAGGAGAGCGGGGTCAACTGAGGATTGCAAAACTGACGCTGGCTGACTAGGAGCAAGAGCGGCACTCAGGCAGCCCGCGGTCTCCAGAGCTCGGTAGCGCTGACTGTCGCGAAACGCGGGCGGCGCCGAGCGCGGGGCCCCTCGGCTCTGGCTGCTCTGGTTCAAGTCTGGCGTCACGAGTCGGGCTCGCGTCTGAACCTGTGGAACTGGTTCTCCCACGAGCTCCAGTATTACTTCGTCGTGTGGACGAGGCGGTTCAGCTCGCGCTGGAGTGGCCCCCGCGGTGCTGCGCCCAACTTACGCTGGCCTCCCTCTTTCCTGATCTCGGCGGTGATGATGTCCGGAATCAGCTTCATGTTGCGCTCGTGCAAGTCGAAGGAAAAGATTAGCCGCACTTTCTCCTTCTTGTTGGAGGCCTTGTTCTTCTTCGCCTGGAAGTGGGTGATGCAGCTGCCCAACGGCTCCGACCCCTCCGCACAGACCACCGTGCACCAGAACTCCTCGAGCACCTTCTTGGCTTCCGGGTCCACCAGGGTCGCCAGCCCTTTGATCGTCGCCGCTGCGATCACCAGGTGCGGCGGGCCGAGGGCCGCCGTGTCGGTCTGGCTGTCCATCTGTCGGTCTGGCTGTCCATCATGTGTTGCTCCTTCAGCTCCTTGGCGTCGGCGTCGTATTGCTGGCCTGCTTGAAGGGCGAAAGTGGGGGGCGGTTTGGCTGCGTCCATCTCCCAGGCCTCGTGCACTGTGGCCTGCAGGTCCTGTGCGTCTTTGGCGACTACGAGCGCCAGCTTGGCCGAGGTGGCCGCGATCTGCTCCACCCCGTCCCAGTCCTTGCCCTTGCCCGCGCCCTTGCTCTTGAACTGCTTGTTGGGGTCGTTCTGGTCCGATGCCGCCGTGAGCCCCCTCTTGCCCGCCCACGCTGGTCCAGTGGCGAAAGCGTCAACCATGGCTGTGCCCCCTGCTGTGCCTGATGCCGCCTCCGCCGCCGCTTCGCCCGGCATCTTGTCGCGGGGCGCCGTCTGGGCGCGAGGCGGCCGCGGTCGGGGCCGAGGTCGGTCGGCGCGCTGGAGTCGGAGGCTGCAAACTTGTCCGGGGAAAATGGCTGCAAATGCGGGCAAAGAACTGTTGTTTGTCGTTGTCCGCATACCCGCATATTCTGCATCTCTGGTCAAAGTCCTCCGCTGGTTTCATCGTTCTGCTTCTGTCCGAGGGGCATTGTCCACGCAGAAAGGCCTTCATAAGATGCCTGCCCGCTGCGCTCCGTTCCCCGAAGATCGCACCGCAACTTACGCACTCATTGTTTAAGGTCAGGAGGAAGGCGAGGTTGCTGAGCCTGTGCTTGCTTCGCATATGTGGTATTAATGCTTTGCGCGATCCAAAGCACACTCCGCACACCATACCTTCAAGCTGTGATCCTGAGAGAGTCGGCGCAAGCACAAGCATGTTTGGCAGTGTCGGCGCAGCAACATCGCCCATGAGCTCAAATCTCCACGGCGAAATCTCTGACAGGACCGTCTCCTCCTCCGCTACGTCTGCTGCTGCTATACTAGAGCTAAGGCCTGGGGGTGGGATGGTGCGGACTCGGTAGGCCTGGCGGAGTTCCTTGGGGTCCTGAACACGAAGGGCCACCTGGAAATCAGACTCAAAGAGGTTACCTGGTTCTATATCGAGGTCTCCGATCTTACTCGCAAAGATGTCAGTGCGGCAGGCCTCCTCTAGGTCTTCAACGACTCGCTTAGCCCATTCGTTACACAGTGGGTGAAGCGCACCATCATCACAGACCGTCGGTTCTGTCTCCAGCTCCAGTTGTCCGAAGATAGCCGTCAGTAGCTGCTGATGCCGCGTAGGTTCCAACAGTGCTTTACGAATCCATGAGAGACGTCTGACAGTGGCCTCCATCTGAAGTGGGAGAATACGCCAGTGCCTGAGAACCTCGTAACTGGTTAGACTTCAAGTCGATCCGCCCTCCAAGTGCCTTGTAGCCTGTCCCCTCATAGCATTCCTGGCCAAACCTGCCACCGTCATAGTAAGTGTTCTGTACTCCGACTTCGTCGGGCAGTAGCTCTCTATGCAACTGAGACCTGTGTTCACAACTTTGCATATGAGGACCGAACGTTTCCATTTATATGGGATCCCCGCTTTGAGCCAAAATCCCCCCATCTCCTTGAAAGCCCTGATCATCGCATGCACGCATTGTTTCACTTCCGCTCCGAATGTGTTGGCCGTGTTTAGATGTGGCCCCAGATGCCGCGCCGACTGTGCCGCGCGCCCCGGGAGTGCATGCTGCTTGCTCCTATGCTGCCGGCACTGCGCAACCGATCCTGCCCCCTGCATCCTGACCGTGCTCTCCTGTTTGTCCCGATTTTGATGCAGGCCAAACCTGATCAACCTAGCGTCTAGCATCTCGTCTGCCTGGCGCGCTTGTCGTGCTAAGTCCGCCGCGGGATGCCGCGCTTTGCTGAGCAATCTCTTCTGGAGGTCGCCTGAGTATTTGAAGAGGCCAGGGCATTGTGGCTTCTCAAAGAAAGGGTAATGCGCCTGCAATGCCTGATCACACGGGAAAGACGCAAGGCAGTCCTGCTTCCACTGTTCTACGGGGTGGGAGAACATAGCCACAAAGTTGTAGACCATATACGGATCCCCTATGATCCCGCCGCGCCCTGGTCGCATCAGCAGAGGGTCCTGCTGGTCACGGCGCGGGACCGAGAAAACGCAACTCCTGCACCTCTGTTCCCCCAGCCCCCACGCGTCCTGAGTAGGTAATTCCTGGGTCGCCGCGCCCATGCTTAGCCAGTCGCCGCTGGCGAAAGCATTAGACATATCTTTGAGTACCACAGCATAGGATACCCCAGCTCTGGACAATCGATCCTGTGTAATCATGCTAGCCATAACTGTTCCCTCCCGTCGTCGCTCATTCACAATCCCGTAGTCCTCGCCCCTCCAAGGTTGAGCCCCTCCCCGTTCCAATTGTGCAGCGTAGTGACACTTCCCAAACGGATCCAGAACGTGGTAGATCCTTTTACCCCTGGGCCCCGTCTGGTTGTTTTTTCGTACTGCTGTAGCCTCGCTAATGTGCCATTCTGCCGGGGCCCGTTTGGTGATGCGGATCTGTCGGAAGGCCTGCTCAAGTTCGCTCCTGAAGCTCTTGGGGAAGATGCGGGGCCTCTCGATGCCTATTCCTCCTCTGTCTTGGACCTCGGGGGGTTTGGTAAGCATCATCCTCCAGGCTTCTGCGGGAGCCGTGCCTACTGGGTGGGCCCTGCGGAGCCCTGTCCTATAGAGCCTGCGGGCGACTTTCTTCATGTCCTGCTGGGCGAGGCCGATCGCATCATTCAGTGTCGCAAGATCGGGGGGGCGGGCACGGTGGCGGGACTCCTCTCTCAGCTCCTCTCTGGTCGTCGTCCTGGCCTCCATCCCTCCTTGTCCTCCTGGGAGCCTCCAGAAGTCCTCCCACTCCTGTCGAGTCGGCATGCTGGTGACCACGCTGCGATAGTTCCTGCGCCGTCGTCCCAACTGCGTGCCTGCCAGAAGCCTACTCAGTCTGCCCACCTCCGCCAAATCCTTCCTGCTCCATGCCCCCCACAGCTCCTCCACTCTCCCCGCTCCTATTTGTTGCCGAGCCTCTCTCCTCATACGCGCGCACTTCACCGTCAGGGCTTTAAGGCGAGACTGTGTGTTCATCATTTGCTGCTCCGTCCCCTCGCCCTGTTGCTCCCTGATGTTCCGTCGTTTCGCAAGCACATCCGATCGCCCCTGCTGGAGTCGTCGGTCAGTGTCGGTTCTGCCGGACCCGCTGCTAAAGTGTTTAGCCGCCACACGGTGCACAATTTCCGTGAGCGCTCCGACTGTCGCCGTGCTGTCGCCTCCAGCCCTAATATCACTCAGCTCCTCCTCTCTCCTCGTGACCTCCTCCTCCACCTCCGCGACGAATGCTGCTCTGCCCACGTTTCTCCTGACACCCGCTACTAAAGCTTGCCGGTCCCATCTGACTCGTCCTTGTGGTTTATGCCCAAATACTTTCGGCATAGATATAGTAGCATGTGTAGGGACGTGGTCTCGTAGTTCGCGGCAAGGTATGACCTGCAGTCGCCGGCCCATGCGGCACAGTGGTCCCGCCGTCTGAACAAGCGGACGCCACTCCTGCGGCAACAAAAGTTAATCGATCTGGGACTTATGTTTTTCAGCGAAGAAGGTCGGCCGCCAGTGGTCGTGAGGGCTAGCCGCATACAGATGATGACGCTCTGAAATCCCACGAGGGCGTTGCCCCGCTCCCCCTGGGAGGCGCTCGGGGGCACCCCCAGGTCCGACCGCCCAGCTGTGGATTGGTTCCCCCTTATGGCTTTTGTCCCATACCATCGTTGACGTCGCCACCTATGATAATCGTCGTACTTGGGCCCGCCTGAGCCGCCTGTTGGTCGATCCAATCCGAGAGGGTCTTGGCAATGCGTTGATACTGCCGTCGTTCAGCCGTGGTTCGAGGCTGAGGCGGGTAATATACACATATGTACTTCACACGCTGTCCACCTAGTTGTAGTGTCGCTGAAATACCCCTACCATGTAATATGTCAGGTGGTGCCGCTGTGTCCAGAAGTAGTGCGTGCTGCCATTTCCCCCTCCAGATAATCATGCATCCCGCCGATTTGTCGCTGTACGCCGCTCCCTCCCTCCACCCACTCTCCACATACCTGCACCTGCCCCCCCCTTGTGTAGTGATGTAGCCCATCTGCTCCGTTTCACCTGAGGGTCGGCGTCGGGTCGTCCCTGCAAGGCCGATGAGGTCGAAGTTGTGACATTCCTCTCATATTTCGAGTAACCTGTCGGCGGCACAGTGCATAGGGTTGTAAAACAGAACTGCAAGAGAAGCCATCCGAACCGCACTCGTGAGGTGTAAGCGCGGGCTGATAAACATGTGACAGGGAAGGAGTGAATGGTTTCCCTGAGGTGTGCTGGCCACCCGATCGCCGCTTGACCTCGCGGTGGCTAGGAGGAGGAGGAGGAGGAGGAGGAGGAGGAGGAGGGGGAGGAGGAGGAGGAGGAGGAGGAGGAGGAGGAGGAGGACAGCGCCGTCATAGCAGGCATGCTCGAGGATAGCGTTTGATCTGATACGTCCTCACCAGGCATGATCGACGGACCGATGCGGAGAAACAAAACATAAACATCCCCCGATCTGGATGCTTGGACTCGACGCGAGATGATGGATGCTAACTTCTGTGCTGAGTGCTGATCCCCCAATCTCCGCTGCTGCTACTTGAGCGCTTTTCCTCTGTCTTCTCTTCCTCACACTGCTGCTGTTCCTCCTCCTGTTCCTCCTCCTGCTGCTCCTCCTCCTCCTCCTCCTCCTCCTCCTCCTCCTCCTCCAATTGATAAGTCCTCCTCCTCCTACTCCTTCTCCTCTTCTCTTTCAGCTTTTCTCCTCCTCCTACCTCCCCTCCTCCTCCTCCTCCCTCCTCCTCCTCCTCCTCCCCCACCTTCCAATCCTTACTCCTCTCCTCTCCTCTCCTTTCCTCCCCTCCCCTCCCCTCCCCTCCCCTCGCCTCCCCTCCCTTCCCTCCCCTTCCCCTCCGCCTCCTGCTCCTGCTCCTCCGCCTCCCTCTCCTCGTCCTATAAAGGCGCCTCATCGAGGGCGCCAGGCCGCCGCGGAGGGCACCAGGGCGCTGGAAAACCCCGCGGTCGCCTGGCCGCCACTGCCGCGAGGGCCAGCGTGGTGGGGCCCAGGGCCTGGCTGGGGCCGACCCTGGGCCGTCTCCTCTCCTGCCCCCCTTCAGGGCACCCCCGGAGCGCCCTCGGCTAGGCGCGGCTGCTGGAACGCACCCCGCGGCAGGAACGCCTGCCGGGGACCGACGACAGCGCCCGAACGCCCCGGCAGCTTCGCCAGCCCTGCCCCGCGGCAACCCCGGAACGCCCTCGGCGAGGCGCGGCTGCTGGAACGCACCCCGCGGCAGGAACGCCTCTGGGGACCGACGAAAACGTCAGGACACCCCGGCAGCTTCGCCAGCCCTGCCCCGCGGCACCCCCGGAACGCCCTCGGCGAAGCGCGGCTGCTGGGACGCACCCCGCGGCAGGAAAGCCTTCGGGGACCGACGGCAACGTTCTCGTGAACCATTCCCCGCGGCCCCCCCGGAACGCCCTCGGCGAGGCGCGGCTGCTGGAATGCACCCCGCGACAGGAAAGCCTCCGGGGACGGACGAAAACGTCAGGACACCTCAGCAGCTTCGCCAAGCATGCCCCGGCATCCTCGGAACGCCCTCGGAGAGGCTCGGCTGCTGTAACGTACTCCGCGGCAAAAAAACCTTCAGGAACCGACGAAATCGCCAGCATTCCCCAGCCGTGTCGCCAGACCCGCCCCACCTGACCCGCAGCGTTACGAAGACGACCGCGGGTGGTCGGCAGCACGCCTGTCGGCCGCGGGCCCAGGGCAGCCCTGAGCCGGCCTGGCGCGGGCCCGGACTTCTTGAGGGCGCTGCCGCCGCGTGCAGTTGTGGCTGCTGATGATGATGATGATGATGATGATGATGATGATGATGATGATGATGATGATGATGATGATGATGATGATGATTATGATGATGATGATGATGACGATGATGATGATGATGATGATGATGAGGAGGAAGAGGAGGACCAATGTAAACCCTGGACTCATCAACCTTTCCTCCTGGTGGAAGTGCCCTGTTGGAGGACAACAAGTTTAGAATCCTGAGCTGTGCCAGAACTCCATTCCTGGGACTCCGAAACCGCGACTCACCGACACAGTCACGCCTTGACGCCCCTGAATCGGGCCACAGTGCTATAGATATACACACAAATATACAACATTCAACACCACGCATCAATGCAACTGTTGCGCCCTGACATTGAAACACCGTGCCGAAGCATACACTTATAATGTTGACCATGAGAACCTTTGACATTGCGGTACGCTCTTAAGACGGAGCGTGCGCGGCGCTCCGGCGAAGACCGCATTTTGAGCAGGTGCCGCCCTCCATCCGTGAAGCTCGCCCAATCTTTTACAAGGAATGTGCGCGGCGCAAGAGCAAGCACCACACGTTGAAACAAAAAGGCGCCCTCCATCCGTGAAGCTCTCGCAAACTTTGAAGACGATCGTGCGCGGCGCTGAAGCGAGAACCACTGTTGAAAACTACCCGCCCTGTATCCGTGGATCTCCGGCAAACTTCGACAACGAATGTGCGCGGCGTGAGGGCGAGAATCGCATGTTGAAAACCACCCACCCTCCATTCGTGAAGCTCTGGCAAACTCTGACAACGAAAATGCGCGGCGTGAGGGCGAGAATCGCATTTTGAAAACCACCCGCCCTCTATCCGTGAAGCTGTTTGGCGACTCCAAAGGGTGTGGTTTGCAAAGGGTGTGGTTTGCAACCGGCACCCTGGAGAACATCCTGGGGGGCACCCTAGGGGGCGCGCGGAGACCTCGATAGAGTTCTCCCGCGGCCCGAGGAGGCCAGACGACGACAGTGTCGTGTCCCCCCGGCCCCAACGGTGCCGATCGCAAGCCACACCCCGGCGTAACCATACCTTTTGTAATCGCCGAGCTGTTGCGATTTTCACGCTTCAGGATCATGCCTGGTGAGGACGTCTCAGGCCAAACGCCTGGCCCGCCCTTTCGATCGGCCTCGGGGAGCGGCAAAGATGAGTTGTTTATCAGGATAAAGGACGGAGGATGCGGATGCGGATGCGGACGCGTATGCGGATGATGCGGATGATGGACGACAACGACGATGAAGATGATGGTGATGGTGATGTTGGTGGTGATGATGGTGATGATGATGATTATACTGATGATGATGATGATGATGATGATGATGATGATGATGATGATGATGAAAGTGGTGATGGTGATGATAATGATGATAATGATGATGATGGTGATGATGATGATGATGATGGTGATGATGATGATGATGGTGACGACGATGACGATGACGACGACAATGATGATGATGCTGGTGATGGGGATGGGGGTGATGATGATGCTGAGAAAGGGGAGGGGGCGGAAATTCTACCTGCCTAACATGTTACTTATAATCAACGCAACCCGCAGTCTCGACGAATATATCACATCACACTTAACGCCGCCCAATCTGACCGCATCCGTCTACGCCCGCATGTTCAAACCCAGTCTGCTTATTTAAGGGACGGTTGGGAGGGGAGGATAGGAGTTCGAGGTGGAGGCGGGGCCTGAGGCCTGAGCCCGACTTTCAATCCTGAATTTGTCACATCCGGCAACATCAGTTGTGCTCTCGCCAAGCCTCGCTCGAGGCTTATAGTGGTGTTCCCAAAAGGTCGCGCGAGCCACTCATTCTTACCTATTCAAGGTGCGCGTTCGCCTCACATCCTCACCTCACAACTGCTTGCTTACGGAATATGGAGCCCAACTCATATCTGTCCGCTCCAGACACCAACGCGCCTCGCAATCTGATGCCGCCCCACGTTTACCGCAAACTATTTCCACCTCGTTCCCCTCTCACTGCCCCGCCCTTTGGTGTCATACATCTCCCCAGTTCTTCCAAGATCCTGCGCTCCCTCATCGCAGTACAGCGTGTTCAACAACTACATGCCCTTGCGGGCTTCTCCTCTTACTTAATAAATACTGATGCATTCGTTTTCTCCTTGCGACTCGCTGGGGCATGGCATTCGTACACTGGACACTGCGCCGAAATCGGCCAAATCTGTTTCTAATGCAAACGCTGCTGCTCTTGCGCTGCCAGGGTCCGGGCAACGGAACAAAAAGGAGGAGGAGAGGAGGAAGAGGAGGAGATGGAGGAGGAGGAGGAGGAGGAAGAGAAGGTAGAGGAGGAGGAGGAGGAGGAGGAGGTTGAGGAGGAGGAGGAAGAGGAGGAAATAGAGGAGGAGGAGGAGGAGGAGAAGGAGATCGACCGACTCTGCAGAGGGGCGCCGTCCGTTTGCACTATCACTGGGTGCGTCAGCTCGGCTCTCCTCTAGAGTGCGCCGAACACGAACATGTGGTTGTGGTGCTGATGCTGCTGCTGCTGCTGGCGCTGATGCTGGTGATGCTGATGCTGATGATGAGTATGATGATGATGCTGATGATGTTGATGCTGATGATGACGCTGCTGATGATGATACTACGGATGACGAGGGTGATGATGATTATGATGATGATGATGATCCCGCTCTCCCAGGGGGGCCGCTGCCGACGTGCACACTCCCCCCGCTGCTGCTACTTGATGATGATGATGATGATGATGATGATGATGATGATGATGATGATGATGATGATGATGATGATGATGATGGTGGTGCTGCTCAGTAGTAACAGATTATGGTGATGGTGGTGCTGAGGAGAAACGCGAGCGACGGTAACGAGGAAGACGAGAAGGGCGAGGGCCGGAGGAATGGGCAGCAGGAGAGTAAGTGGGCAGATCGGCACGATAATGACGAATTGGACACGAGAAGAGGGACATCTTATAATCGGATGCATGTGAGGAAGTTGGGGAGGACAGGATGAGCAGACGGAGTAGGGAGAGAAAACAACGAGCACGGAGCAGGGTTGGATGAGCGGGGAGGGAGGATGGTGAGGTGGCGGAGGAAGGGTGAGAAGGAGGGGAAAGGAGAAAGAACGACATCGGCGTTGCGAAAGGGAAGGGGAGAAAACGGGACGAGGGGAGCGATGGCGGAAGAGTGACAGGGGCTTCACGCAAATGCAGCAGAGGGGGCTAGCAACGCGCGGCAGGCAGGGGGGGGGGGGAGCGCTTTTGCAACGTACTACGTGCTTGATAGTATGTGGCTAGCCTGCAATATCGTTTCTCTGTGACCATCGCAATACTCAAGGTGGTTGCGCCCAAGATCAACTTCGCATATCACACCGCCGCGATATCATTGCTTGCCTCTTTCGCACGCGATGAGACCACGGCTATCGCTGACGAAGTCGGGTTCCAACTTCGCCTCCCATACTTTCAAAATCAACGATAAGGCCCGCTGCAACTGTTCGCAATTCTCGCACGCAGTTGCCCCAGCGTTGTAGTTGATGACGCTGGGCTCAAACCTCGCCTCTCGTATCTCGTGGAGCAACGACATAGCCCGCTGCTAGTGTCTGCCTTTCTCGCACGCGCCGATCCCGGCGTTGTAGCTGATCACGTCGGGCTCCAACTTTGCATCCCGTATCTCGCTCAGCAGCGACAAAGCCCGCTGCCACTGTTCACCTTTCTCGCACGCGCCGATCCCGGCGTTGTAGCTGATGACGTCGGGTTCCAGCTTTGCCTCCCGTATCCCTCTCAGCAGCGACAGGGCCCACTGCCACTGCTCGCCATTCTCGCACGCGCTGATCGCAGAGTTGTAGCTGATGACGTCGGGCTGCAGCTTCCTCCCCCGCATCTCGCTGAGCAGCGAGAGGGCCCGCTGCCACTGCGTGCCTTTCTCGCAAGCGCTGACCCCAGCGTTGAAGCTGATGACGTCGGGCTCCAGCCTCGCCTCGTGCATCTCCCTGAGGAGCGACAAGGCCCGCTGCCACTGCTCGCCTTTTTCGCAAGCGCTGATCCCAGCGTTGTAGCAACTAACGTCGGGATTTAATTTTGTCGCCCACATCTCCCTGATCAGCGACACAGCCTGCTGCCATTGTTCACCCTTCTCGCACGCGCCGATCCCAGCGATGCAGCTGATGACGTCGGGCTCCAACT